CTCTCCAAGCCTGTCGTGAGCAGCCACGACGGGAAACCGTGAGTCGAGTGTCTCGAAGATCTGCTGCTCGCTGCCCTCCTGCTCCAGGTGGCCCATGTCGACCACTTCCAGCGCCCGAGCGGCGACGTCGTCCAAGAGCGTGAAGAGCATCGGCCCTAGGGCCGTCGCAGGCGTCCCCTTCGACCTATGCACGATGAGCCCGAGATGCGTCGGCTCCTGTCCCGGCGAACCTCCTGATTGCGCCGCCGAGGCCTCCATTGTCCGTGTCAATCACCTTCTCGTGTCCCGCCGGCACTCGCCCGAGCGCCGCCCTGTGCGACAGCACCTGCCATCGCGCGGCACGCTCCGCACTACCAATGCAGACATGGCTCCGACGGGGGGGCACCCGCACCCTCTTTTCCACTCCTGTGGCAAGCCAGAATGCTGCAGCATCAACACGCACTTGATATACACACACGCACGGGTAGCATACACATGCCTGAACACGTAATGGGCCCAACAGGCCCTGAGATTAGCACCGCCTCTCCCCTTCCCTCCCCTCCCCTCCCTCCCTCCCCTCCCCTCCCCTCCCTCCCTCTCCTCCCTCCCTCTCCTCCCTCCTCCTCGTCCTCCTCATCCTCCCCTTCTCCTCCTCCTCTCAGCCTCCTCCTCAGTCCCTCCTCCTCCTCCTCCTCCTCCTCCTCCTCCTCCCAGCTCCTCCTCCTCCTCCTCCTCCTCCTCCCGCCTCCTCCTCCTCCTCCTCCCGCCTCCTCCCTCCTCCTCCTCCTGGCACGTATTTTGTCGGGCAAGTACCCCCACCCGTCGGGGCCTCCGAAAGCTGTGAGAGATGCAGTGCGCAGCCGTTTCCAGCAGTAATGCGAGTCAATGCGGGACCTTCGATGTCCCTCCTCTGGAATATCCTGGAATATCCTCCTCCTCCTCCTCCTCCTCCTCCTCCTCCTCCTCCTCCTCCTCCTCCTCCCCCTCCTCCTCCATGGCTCTTCACGTGCCCCTCCTCCTGCACGTGCCTTTTTTGCACGGCGCCCTCTGTCAGGCAGGGCCACCTCCCCGCGCGGAGGAGAGCAGCGACTCCTCGGTGCTGGGCGTGCTCCTTGGTGCTGGGCTTACGTCGGGCCCGTCCCTCTACAGGATCGGGCCGGACGAAAGGGGGGGATTGGGAAAGGGGGGGGTACGAAACTTGCTGCGTGCAGCTGGTTTCGGCCTCACCAAGGGGCCCATTCCTCGATACATGGGCGCCTCCCGGCGCCGGGAGGCGCCAGGAAAATCAGCTACGTGAGCTGATTCTCAAACCTCCCCTTTGCTATCCCCCCCTTTCGCCCGTCCCTCTACAGGAGGACTGCTCAAAAGTAGTCAAAACGATGGTCCAGGGACGATTGTTTTGAGCAGGTGTTGGCCATGTGGGAGTGTGTTTGGGGTACTGTTTTAACTATTCGTCCAAAATCCGCATGTAGGGGGACATGTCCGACCTAACCTAACCCTATCCCCTATCCGCTGCCCCCTGGGGTCCCGAACAAGTGTGATAAAACACAAGTGTGAGACAACAACACGTATGACAAGAAGCAAGTGTGTTTAAACAACACGTATGACAAACAAACAAAACGTGGCAAACAACCTACGTGATAAAAAATAACAAGCTCTGTATCACACGTTTGTTTTATCATACTTGCTTGTTCCCACACTTGTTCTTGTTTTAGCACACTTGTTTTTGTATCACACTTGTTTGTTATCGCACTTGTTCGGAGCATCGTTGCCGTGTCAGCACAGCGCATGATTGCGATACGACCCAGACCCCCTCGAGTCATGACAAGACTCACGACGGCTGTCTATCCGCTGTCTTCGGCCTCCTGGGGGCCCCTTGCTGGGCCTCGGGGCCGTCAAAAAAAACGAGCCGGGATGAAAAGCCGGTCCTGTGGAGGAGGAGGAGGAGGAGGAGGAGGAGGAGGAGGAGGAGGAGGAAGAGAAGGAGGAGGGGGAGGAGGAGGAGGAGGAGGAGGAGGAGGAGGAGGTGGAGGAGGAGGAGGAGGAAGAGGAGGAGGAGGAGGAGGGGCGAAGGGAGGAGGCGGAGGAGGAAGAGGAGGAGGAGGAGGAGGAGAACGAGGAGGAGGAGGAGGAGAAGGAGGAGGAGAACGAGGAGGAGGAGGAGATCGAGACCTCCTGGGGTCGACTTCGTGGAAAGTCATGGGTTGACATGTTCCCGCCCCCTTGAATCGAGGCAAGGCTCAAGCAGCGGCGAAGCGTCCTGGCTCGCCTATAGGCCTACCAACGAATGTTCTACGAGCCTTCTGTGGTTTCCACGAAATGTTCTGCGAACATTTCTGGCTGGGGCTGTCTTACTTTAACACATCCGGCTTATGTTCTAAGATCATGGTTTTTGTTCTTAGAACATTTTGGGGTTCTAAGAACATTTCGTGGTAGGCCTCTTGGAATGCCGGGACGGTCGGTCCCTGCTCAACACCCAGCCACGCACAGCGCGCGCTACGCTTCTCGAGGCAGTGTTTTGCCTCGCACTGCTCAAGGGAGGAATTCGCATTGGAAGCCGTCCCGCCGCTCAGTGGGAGTGCTCCAGGGAGGAATAGGGAGTCAGCAGGAAGCCACGACGTGGTAACAAACATACAGGAGCAGTTTGCAAGTTAGGAATAAGGGAGCAGGAAGGAACCGCGACTTCGGTACAGAAAAACTGCAGCAGGAAGGAACTGCGACTAAAAAACAGGGAGACGTCAGCGATTCGCGACTGCTGAGGAAGGAAGCAGGACGGTATCGCGACGCAGGCGCTGGAAATTGCAGCAGGAGGCACCTTGCGACATCTTGCGACTCAGGATGAACCAGACAGCAAGGGATCGCGACTCGGGAGCGAGGCCTACAAGGGGGGACAGCGTGGGTTCGCGACCTGGGGAGAGGGACACCTACCTGCACGCCTCCCTCCGCCGCCGACGCGGCCCCAGCTGCGCGGGCCCCCGCGAGCCGGCCGGCGCGAGGCGGCCGCCTGCGCGCGCGCGAGGCGCGCCCCATGGGGCGCGAACAGCCACAGCCGGAGTCGCAGCGGCCAGAGGTGCAGGAGCAGCTGCGGCAGCTGCGGCGCGGCTGGGACCGGCAGAGGCGCGCGGCGGCGGCGGCCCAGCTCGGGGAGCTCGGCGCCGCGGAGGCTGCGCCCGGGCTGCTGGAGGCGCTGCGGGGGGACACGGACGGGGGCGTGCGCCGGGCGGCGGCGAAGGCGCTCGGGCAGCTCGGCGCCGCGGAGGCCGTGCCCGGGCTGGTGGAGGCGCTGCGGGGGAACTTTGGTCGGCCCTCGCACGAGGCGGCGGACTTCGGGTGGGAAGTGCGCCGGGCGGCGGCGGAGGCGCTCGGGCAGCTCGGCACCACGGGGGCCGCGCCCGGGCTCCTGGAGGCGCTGCAGGCGGACGGAGATTCGGGGGTGCGCGGGTGGGCGGCGAAGGCGCTCGGGCAGCTCGGCGCCGCGGAGGCCGCGCCCGGGCTCCTGGAGGCGCTGCGGGGAGACGGGGCGGCACTCGTGCGCAGGACGGCGGCGGAGGCGCTCGGGCAGCTCGGCGCCGCGGAGGCCGTGCCAGGGCTGGTGGAGGCGCTGCGGGGGGACTGGGACTGCTCGGCGCGCAGGGCGGCGGCGGAGGCGCTCGGCCAGCTTGGCGCCGCGGTGGCCGTGCCCGGGCTGCTGGAGGCGCTGCGGGGCGACAAGGACCCGTCAGTGCGCAGGGCGGCGGCAGAGGCGCTCGGGCAGATCGGCGCCGCGGAGGCCGTGCCCGGGCTGCTGCAGGCGATGTTTCAGGACAAAGGCGTGCGCGGAGCTGCGGCCAAAGTACTCGAGAAGTTCAACGCCGTCGAGATCGCCCTGCAGCTCGTGCGCACGATCGCGAACAAGACCAACATGGCCGTGCGCACGAGCGCAGCCTCGGAGCTGAGCAGGTTGCTTGACGAGGAGGGCTCTGCTGCGGTGGCCCTGGCGCTGGATGACGAGCACGCTGACGTGCTGCATTGCGCGGCGCAAGACGCGGGGGCTGACCAGGAGTACCGTAGACTTTGCGCCCGGGCCCTGAAGAAGGTCGAGGAGGCGCACGCGCAGGTGGCCGACGACGCGGCCGACAGGGGCGCGAGCGCAGAGAAGGGCTTCCACTTCTGGTTCGTCGGCCGCGAGGACTTCCTCGCCCTGGCTGAGGAGCGGCCCATGCCGCGCCACCAGACCCTGAAGCAGCAGGGCCTGCTGTCCCGCATCCTCCTGAGCGAGGCGGATGTCGTCTCGGGAGCTGCGCGGCGCTTTGGTGCGGTGATCTAGGCCTCCTCGATGGGGTCGGAGTAGATGGGGTCGGAGGATCGCTCCGCTTCGCCGATGCATCGGCGATGCGGCTCGATGTGGAGCCCGATTTGCTCCACGTCGGCATCGCCGATGCATATCCGAAGTCGACGTTGCGTCGCCAGTGCATCCCCGATGCATCGCCGATACATCGCCGATGCATCGTCGATGTATCGGCGATGCGGCGCGATCCTCCGACCGCCATCTATTCCGACACCTATCTAGGAGGCCTCTAGGTGAGCCATCGCTGGATCAAGGAGTGGCATACCGACCCAGATGCCGTCAAGCTCAGGAAGATCAAGGAGATCTTGCGCGAGAACCCGGGCGTCACTCACGTCTGGCTCGACTGGGCCTGCATCCCGCAGCGGTGGAGGGACGACGGCACTGAAGGCAGGACGACGTTCGCAGAGCAGAGGGAGTTTACCATGACTTTGGCGAACGTCCTCCCGTACCTTTACTTGGGCTGCACCGTCTTCGTCCTCTTCTCGGCGGCGAGCGATTGGGGGGAGTGAGAAGGAGAAGGCCCTCTCAGAAGGCGGCGGGACTTCTCAGAAGCCCTCGCGTCGTCCGAGAAGTTTCCTGCGTCTTCGGGGAAGGCTTGCACAACTTCTCACAAGGCCGCGGGACTTCCGAGCCTTCTGAGAAGGCCTTCCCCTTCTCATTTCCCCCCTCGCTCGCCGCCGATCTTCGATGCGGACTACAACCGGCGCTTCTGGCCAAGCGTAGAGGCCTGGACGTCGATGCGCAGGATCACCGCAAAGGGGCTCGAGGAGGCCTCTCCCGAAGATCTTCGTGCCCAGGTGTATGGCATCTGATGGGCCTGCTTTCCACGATCACCACCGTAAGTTGTGGGGGGGGAAGAAGGTGGAGGACGAAGAAAGGAGGACGAAGAGGATGAGGAGGAGCAGGAGGAGGAGAAGGAGAAGGAGGAGGTGGAGGAGGAGGAGGAGGAGGAGGAGGAGGATGACCCCGTCCCCTCCAACAAATGGTGGTGGTGGTGGTGGTGGTGGAAAACACGCCCATCAGCATCGGCGGCAGCGACGGCCAGGCTCGCCTCCGCGAGTACCTCTGCGACGCGTGGCTGCACAAGTCGGCCGAGGAGGCGGTCCACACCCTGAGGTTCGACGAGTACTTCGTGACCAACCTCAAGGACAAGGAGGTGAACCTCCAGATCGTGTCCGGCCTGGACGAGCGCGTGGAGGGCCTGCTGAGGCGCAATCCTCGGAGGAGGGCCGGCGGAGACGGCGGCGACCCTCCCGCAAGGGCCCACACCCGCTCGAAGTCTGCTCCCAGAACTCTCCGGAGGTCCATCCCGGCCCGAGGAGGAGGAGGAGGAGGAGGAGGAGGAGGAGAGGGAGGAGGAGGAGGAGGAGGAGGAGGAGGGGGAGGAGGAGGAGGAGGAGGAGGAGGAGGAGGAGGAGGAGGAGGAGCGAGGAGGAGGAGGAGGAGGAGGAGGCATCCCCTCCCACGGAGCCTTCGGGAACGCTCCCGGAGCGGTCTGGAACGCTCTGGGCAGGCCGCGGCGCCGGAGGCGTCGACGGAGAGCCGCCGGATCTCGGAGCTTCTCTGCGTGTATCCCCGCCCGATCTGGGCCTCGTCGCGTCCTGGCTCCGGCCTCTCTCGGGGCTGACCCGGCCGTGGCGACGAGAAGCCTCCCGTGGATGCGACCAAATGCCACTCGAAGGAATACGCAGTTCCCAAAAGGCCTACAGTATATGCATACGCTACACAACCTTAGTATAAGGCATCTAGGCACACGGTTCTCGAGCTCTTAGTTTCCTGGGGGACCCGAGTGCCCAGGGCTTCTCTAGCTGACGTGGGCACGGGAAAGGACGGGGGCGAAGGCCGACCTCAGTTCCTGTCCACTCTGGACCGGGTTCGCTCTCTGTGCCAGGGCTGAACCCAGCTGCTGTTTTGCTGGACTTCGGCCGTGCTCTGTTCTTCGTTTTGGCAGGGAGGTGCAGGACAACAGGTGGAGCAAATCGAACAACAAAACGAAAGCAGCACGAAACACGAAAGCAAAACGAAAGACAGCGTTTAGGTCCAGCCCTGCTCTGTGCCGCCGCGGGCGTTACCCACTCGAGACACAGCCCTGAGATCCGACGCTGCACACACAAATGCAGCATCGCAAGACATGTTTTTTGGCGTCGGCGGCTAGGCAGGCCATCGTTTTCTCATTGTTTTGCCGATCGGCGCGGGCCCCCAACCCCCCCCTCCCCCCCCCATGGAGTAGGTCCTGGCTGTTTTTGGGCGCCTGTTTCGAGCAGGTGGGGTCTCTCCCATAGGACGCATCGGTGCAAGCCGTCGCGTCAAGCAGAGGTCCGGAGCCAGACCCCCCCTCCCCCCCCCTTCCGCCCAATGTCGAAGCGCCGAGTAAGAAAACGTTCACCAGGGGACGTCTGCGCTGGCGACGGGGTGCCTCAGCGGGGCTACCGCTAGAGCACAGCATCGTAAAACATCACGGCTGGAGACCGGACCCCCATCTCTCTGCGCCATGTTTCGAGCCGGATCTCTGCGTCGTGTCTCGAGCCGGATTTCGTGCTTCTTTGTTCTGGGAAGCGAAGACAAAACGAATCTCGTGCGCTGAAAGAAAAAATGTTTCGAGCCGGATCGATCTGGGAGGGCCCCGGGGCCCGAAATGAAGGGAAAACGCCCGCTGCGAAAAAGTTGCAGCGCCAGGATCTCAGGGAAGCTCGCCCGCCAAACGGCGGCCGCTGTCGGTCGTGGGCAGCACTTCATGGTTTGGGCATCGTGCGCCGGGTTTTGTTCCCACCGCATTTGCGGGCGCGTTGATCCATAGAGAGGCCCAGAGAGGGCCGAACCCAGACCTCCGACGTCATACAGTCGGCCCGGATTAGTAGGTCAACCCTGCCAAGTCAAGGGTACTCTTGTGTCCTATGCATCGCGCGTCGTGTCCTCCAGTCCTGGAAAGAGACCATATTGGAGGCCATGTTGCAGGCACCCTTGTTGGAGGCCATGTTGCCGTCGGAAGAGTCTTGTGTCCTGTCGCGTGTCCTGTGCAATCAATTCTGCTTGTAATGTTTTCATGCCGTCGACCCCAGAGTTCTCGACCCCTTCCCCCAGAGCCGGCTTTTCAGCCTGAAGCGTTCTCTGACGGCCTCGCGAGGCCCGGTGAGGAGGAGGAGCAGGAGGAGGAGGAGCAGGAGGAGAGGGCGGAGGAGGAGGATGGGATGGGATGGGATGGGATGGGATGGGACGGCGCCTCAAGACAGTCGAGACGGGAGGGAACGGCCCGAAAAGAGAGACAGAACAGTGCTCGAGCACGCACTGCTGGCGAAAGGCTCGAGACGCAGGTATGCGGCGTCACCTGGGGCTGCGCTGCTCGCGCTACCCTTCGGGCCGTGCCTCCCTCCAGACGAGGGAAGTCCACCGCAGCCCCTCCCTCAGAGGTATGCAGCATCACCTGGGACCGCGCACCGCTCTATCCTCCAGGCTGTGCCTCCCGCCACGCGCAGGAAGACCACCGAAGCCCCTCCCTCAGCAGGTGCGCCCGACGCACAGCAGAGAGGCTCACGCACCGCCACGGCCGCCTGGGCAGCGGCGGCGAGAGCACGCCTGTGCTTCTCTGGGAGACCCTGCTGCGACTCCAGGCTCAAGCGCGCAGACGCGTCGAGCGCCCCATCGCTCACAGCAGGGTTGATCTCACGCATCACGGCGAGCAGCTCATGGCACACAACTCGCACAGGGGAGAGCGCCTTTCTCCACCTTGGTGCCGTCCGCGCCCTCGAGAGGGCAGTCGTCGTCTGCCTCCTCCTCGTCCGCGTCCAGGCCGCACGAGTCCGAGCCGTCGTCGACCGCCTCGCACTTCACCTTCTGCTGCTGCTTGGGCATGGCATCCTGCTCCCGGGAGTGCGACGCCTCGCCGATCTTCTCGTTCTGCTTCAAGCTCTGCTCGTCCTGCACCTCCACGGTCGTCTGCAGCAGCTTCTCGCACTTGACGGTCTTACGAGTGGCGTCATCCTCCAGGACCTTCTCCACGCAGTGCAACTCCGGCACTGGGTCCTCCGGCACCTCCACGCCCCTCTCCTGGAGGGCCTGGGGCACCTCCTCGATCTTCTCCACGTAGTGCGCTTCCTGCGCGTGGACCATGGGCACGGCCACGGACTTATTCATGTGCGGCTCCATGTGGCCGCCGTCCACGAGCGGCGCCACAGCGCCAACGATACCCAGGACGTCCGCCCGCAGAGTCATGGTGATGTCCTTGATGTCAGCGATGGCCTCCAGGACCTTATCACAGGATCCATCCTCGACCACGGCGCTGTCCTCCGACTGGGCCTCCCCCATGCCCGCCCCCGCTGTCGACCAGCAGCGGGAAAGCCGGGATGTTGCCGAATTGCTCCTCCCTGAGCTCCAGCTCCTCCTCCCCCGACTCCATGTTGGAGGATATGTCGTAGCTCTCCACGCCGTGCGACCAGGAGCTGTTCGCGTCAACCTTGACGGACCCCACGAACGCCTCGTGGACGTCCTGGCACAGCGGCACGTCGGGGTGCCCCGCCGTGTTGCGCAGCTTCGAGACCTTCCCGAGCCGCAAGGCGAGCGCGGCCGCGCCACGCCCACGAAGAAGAGCCTTGGCCTCCGACACGCTGGGCTTCGCCGCGAGGCCTGCACATGCCTGGACCTCGCGCAGTAGGAGGAGAGGGAGGAGGAGGAGGAGGAGGAGGAGGAGGAGGAGGAGGAGGAGGAGGAGGAGGAGGTTGATCCCCGTTTGGGGCCGAGGCTGGTTTGCAGAGCGGACCGCCTTCTGGTAGGAACTAGAGGAACTAGAGGAGGCCCCGAGGCCTCTGCAGGGCGGCCCCGAGGAGGGGCGTGGCACGCGCGGGTGGGCCGCCGTTGTCTTGGCGTGGCCCTCCCCCGAGCCTCCTGGCCTGGTGGGCACCGCCCGCCGCGAGGGCCACGGCCCGCTCGATGCGTGCCGCTGCGGCGCCGACTACCCCTCCCGGGCCGGACGAGAGGGGGCGCCCGCACCCAGACCCCGGGGGCGGAAAAGAGGGGGGTGATGACTAGGGGGGGGTGGATATCATGGCGGGGGCCATGCTATCTCCCCAGATTTCATGGCGCCCCTTCTTATTTCATTACGTCCCCGGCCCCCCCGCTGGGCCGCGCACATGCCGCCAGTCATGATTTGCACCCCCCCTCTTGGACACCCCCCTCTTTGCCGCCCCCGAAGACACCCAGACCCAGAGATCCAACGCATTGAACAAAATCAAGACGGAGGTTTTTGACCAGTTTCGGCCCCTGGGGCCCCTCGCCGGGCCTCGGGGCGGTCAACCAAGCGGCTCGGGATGAAAAACCGGTCCTGGGGAGTGAGTCGAGACTTCTGGGGGCCGCGTATAGAGAAAATCACGACATCGGATCTCTGGGGACCCCCTCGCGCTGTGAAAAAATCACGACGGGAGGTATTTTGTAACTTTCGGCCTCCAGGGGCCCTTGCCGGCCCTTGGGGCCGTCAAAAAACGATTCAGGATGAAAACCGGTCCCGGGGAAGGGGTCCAGAGCTTTGGGGGACGCCGGGCATCCCTCGAGATCCTGGCGCTGCCATTTGTTCACAACGGGCATTGTCGTTCCATCTCGGGCCCCGGGACCCTTACGGATCGATGCGGCTCGAAGAGATTCAGAGCGCGAATTACCTCCCCCGCTTTCGCTTCCAGGCAAAACCAAGCCATACCACGCGCCTCCTCGTCAAGCGGCCTGACCAGTACAGGCTGCAATTTGGCATCGTTTGGTATCTCTTGGAAGCGAGGGTGGTCAAAAGCGAGGTAGGTTTGTTTTCCCCCTAGAGATGGGGTCCCGGGCTCCAGTCGTGATGTGTTGCGATGCTGCTTGTTTGCTTTAGCAGGCCGGGATTCTTTTTTGTTGGCTCCTGCCTTGCGGCCTCCCGGGCCCGCCGTCGGGCCCGGGGACATGTGAAGGAAGGATATCCTGGACGGACTTCCCCCGGGAAGGGGTCGGGAGGCGGAGGAGGAGGAGAGAGGAGGATGAGGAGGAGGAGGAGGAGGAGGAGGGAGGAGGAGGAGGAGGAGGAGGAGAAGCAGGAGGAGGAGGAGGAGAGGACGAGGAGGAGGAGGAGGAGGAGGAGGCGGAGGAGGAGGAGGAGGAGGAGGAGGAGGAGGAGGAGGAGGAGGAGGAGAGGAGGAGGAGGAGGAGGAGGAGGAGGAGGAGGAGTAGGCGGAAGGAGGAGGAGGAGGAGGAGGAGGAGGAGGAGGAGAAGCGGAGGACGAGGAGGGAGGAGGAGGAGGAGGAGGAGGAGGAGGAGGAGGAGAAGGAGGAGGAGGAGGAGGAGGAGGAGGAGGGGCCCGCAAGAATCGGCTCGAGATGAAGAGCGGATCCCATGGGGGCGGCCGAGAGGCCGGTGGCCCGCGTGTCGATCGAAAGAATACAGGCGGCGGATGTCTGGGCAGGGGCAAGGGTGGAGCGGGTTCCAGCTCCGCCACCCCAGAGATCCAACGTATTGAAAGAAACAAGACGGAGTTTTGTTCGCCATTTTCGGCCCCTAGGGCCCCTCGCCGGGCCTCGGGACCGTCAAAATACGACTCAGGATGGAAATCTGGTCCTGGGGAATGGGTCGACACTCTTGGGGACCGCGCATTGAACAAATCACGACGTCGGATCTCTGGGACGAGGCCCTTCCCTGAGATCTGGGCGCTGGAGTTTTTCCACGCCCGGCGTTTTCTTGCCAGGTTTCGGTCGGGCGTTCGGCAATGGGGGGGGGCGATGCATGGGGGGGCCTCGAGGGTTGCACGAAAGGGGTCCTGAGGGGGCCCTGAACGAGCCCCCTAGGGCCCCGATTCGGGGTACTACGAGAGGTGCAAGAGAGGTGCACATTTCTTACCCCCCCCTCGATCGCCCCCCCATTATAGTGAACGCCCGATTCGGGCCCCGGGGCCATCACGGGTCGACGCGCAGCTCGGAGAATGCAGGGAGACCGGGCCTGTTGCCTGGCATCGCTCGGACGTGTGCAGTTTTCCCTCGGCGAGGACCATCGCTCGACGTGTGCATTTTTCCCTCGGCGACAAAACGACGCACGAAACCGAAACAAAAAAGCAGGGAAGGGACGTCCGAGCGATGGCGAGGTTGGGCTCCGGTCGTGAGCGCTGCGAGGTTGCACTCTGCGCGCCACGTCGGATCTCGGGGGCTGCGAGGCCCTCACCTCGGCGCACGGGGCCGCCGCCAGCGCCCCTCTGATATCCAAGATTTGGGTCGGGCCTGCCCTTCTACAGGAGGAATATCCCAACATAGTCAACAGATAGTCTGGGGAGGACTTGTTGAGCATTTGTGTGACTCGTTTGGTGCATGTTTGTGCACTAGTCTGGGTTTTTCGTCAAAATCCCACTGTAGAAGGACAGGCCCGACTTAATCCAAGATCTTCGATGTCGTGATGCAGTCGAGCATCTGATGAAGAAGCCTCCTCCCGAAAAGCTGGGCCAGCGTTTCTGAGCCGGAAAGCTGGCCCAGTTTCTTGAGCACGTTTGCCCCTCCAGCGTTAACAACAGGAGTTGGCCCAGGCTTGTTGTAGGACATTTCCGAGAAGCTGGGCCTCATTTTATAGTTTTCTTGGTCGTATTTCCGACTGTATTTTTACAACGTGGACCCCCTGAGGTTTGGGCCCCCTTCCTGGGGCCAGTTGTTGTCATCCCCAGGACCCTGCGAGGGCCCACAAAGGCCGAAGAGATGGCCAATATCTTTCCTCGAGACTTCTTCACAGCGAGAGGAGGTGGGGATTATCCCCCCTTCCCCAGACCCCGCCGCGCTTTGAACAAAGACACGACGGCGGGTTTTTCGTTACTTTCGGCCTCCAGGGGCCCTCACCAGGACTCGGGACAGTCAAAAAACGAGTCAGGATGAAAAGCCGGTCACAGGGAATGGATCGAGACAAAGGGGGGGGGGCTTCCGAAGCTGCCCCCCCCCTCCCCTCCTTGTGTGTGCATTTCGGAGCCAGGGGGGCCCTGGCTAGGGGGGGGGGGGGAGTCTTGGCAACTATCCCCCCCTCCTTCTTTCCGGGGCCAAAGGTCAGCCAGGGCTTTGCTTTCAAACGGAGGGAGGGTTTTGGAAGCTCCCCCCCGCCCTTCGCCCCCGCCTCTTCGCAGCTGAGACTGCCGTGCCAAAGGGGGGGGGCAGCTACCCCCCCGCCCTTCGCCCATTTCTTTTCCGGAGCCCAATGCCAGCCCAGGCTTACCGCTCATCAGTGGGAGGGGGTTCGCTTCGGAAGCTCCCCCCCTCCTCCTTTTCGCAGCTGAGATTGCAGTGCCAAGGAGGGGGACTTCAAAGCTAACCCCTTCCTCCCACCTTTACCAGAGCTCAAGGTTCGCTGGGGCTTCCCTTTCAAAAGGGGGGGCTTCCGAAGCTATACCTCCTCTTTTTCGTAGCTGATGTTGGTTTGCCAGGGGGGGCTTCAACGCTGTTTGTTTTTGTCCAACCATCTTCTGTTGTTGGGGAGCTCCACCGGAGGCTCCAAGTGGGAACGTCCGCGTGCGTCCCGACACACCCAGTTTGGCGTTTTCGAGCACCCAGTACAGCGCTTCGTGGCCCCATAGGGAGCTCCACCGAAAGCTCCAGTGCCACCGTCCGCGTGCGTCCCGAAAACCTAAAGTGGCAGTTTCACCCACCCAGTACATCGCTTCGTGGCCCCATAAGGAGCTCCACCGAAGCCCACAGTGGGATCGTCTGCACGAGTCCCGGAACACCCACGTTGCCATTTTCACCCACCCATTAAAGCGTTTCGTGGCCCCATGGGGAGCCCCACCGAAGGCTCCAGTGCCACCGTCCGCGTGCGTCCGAAAACCGAATGTGGCATTTTCACCCATCCAGCACAGCGCATCGTGGCCCCATAGGTAGCTCCACCGAGGTCCGCAGTGCCCCCGTCCGCATGCGCCCCGAAAACTCAATGTGGCATTTTAGCTCGCCCAATAGACCGCTTCGTGGTCCCATCGGGAGCTCCACCGAAGCCCCCAGTGGGACCGCCCGCATGCGTCCCACACGCTCAATTTGGCATTTTCACGCGCCCAGTACAGCGCTACGTGGCCCCATAGGGAACTCCATCGAAGCCCCCAGTGGCACCGCCCGCATGCGTCCCACACGTCCAAATTGGTTTTTCACCCACCCACTAGAGCGCTTCGTGGCCCCATAGGGAGCTCCACCAGAGGCCCCAGTGCCACACCGTTTGCATACGCCCCGAAACCCAATTTGGCATGTTAACCCACCCAGTACAGCGCTTCGTGGCCCTATAGGGAGCCCTTCCGAAGTCTCCAGTGGGACCGTCCGCGTGCGTCCCGACACACCCAATTTGGCGTTTTCAGACACTCAGTATAGCGTTTCGTGGCCCCAGAGGGAGTTCCACCGAACCCCCCAGTGCCACCGTCCGCATGCGTCCCGAAAACCCAATGTCACCCGTCCAATAAACCGCTTCGTGGCCCCATAGGGAGCTCCATCGAACCCCCAGTGGGACCGCCCGCATGCGTCCCCCCCCAACCCCACACACACACACACGCACACACACACACGCACGCACGCACGCACGCACGCACGCACGCACGCACGCACGCACGCACGCACGCACGCACGCACGCACGCACGCACGCACGCACGCACGCACGCACACACACACACACACACACACACACACACACACACACACACACACACAAACACACACACACACACACACCACACACACACACACACACACACAATTTGGCATTTTCACGCACCCAGTGCAGCATTTCGTGGCCCCGTAGGGAGCTCCATCGAAGCGCCCAGTGGGACCGCCCGTGTGCGTCCCGAAAATCAAATTTGGCATTTTCATTTGCCCAGTGCAGAGGGAGTTCCACCGAAGCCCCAAGTGGGACCGCCCACATGCGTCCCACACGCCAGAATTTGCATTTTCACTCAGTCAGTAAAATGGTTCGTGGCTCCATAGGGAGCTCCACAGAAGCGCCC